CTGGGTTTTAACAGGGCTGCTCTAATGCTTCCCCCAAAAGGGAGCGTAATATTCGAAGTTAAGCATAAAAACTTGGTAAGATACAGTTGAATGCAATGGTAAGTACATGGTCATTACCCCGTAGTGACAAAAGAGGGGAAGAAATAAATAAAAGGAGTATTTTAAACTAGGGTGGGATTACATTATAGTCATGTTTAAGACCGAAGAGCCTCAATGTAATTTACTGCACCATTTACAGCAGCTGCCTGATTTCACCATTAATGCTAAGAAGACATCAGATAAGGCACCAAAGGTGATGGGATGCAGATGAGATCTTCACGTTTAGAAGTGATGACACCCTGTGTAACAGGAAGAAGAATTTAAAGAACAGGATTTGACAGGTAAGCTGCTTGGTGTGTAGGGGAGGAGAAGCAATTTCTCATCTGTGGAAATCAAGATTGGTCGAAGGCAGCAAAGAGGGCAATTCTGTGGGGAACTTGTGAGTAACATACACACTTTGAAGAGATAAAACCCGAGATCACATTTATCCAGAACACTTTCACTATGAGAAGCTGCTCGATATTGTAGCACTGTGCATTCTGTTGGGAAGTGTGTCTTTACTTTTTTAATAACTTTTTTGTAAATATTTAATTATTTTTAAAATATCCTGCTTATTGTTTATTTCCCCCCCCAGCATCTTGTCATTACCTTCTTTATATTAATTCTTGTGGCATAGGTGTGCTGTAAATATGTTACATGAATCCATGATTTTGATAGCAATTTTTTTAATCACTAGGGAAACCAAAGTAACTTCTGCCACTTTTAGAGCAGATTAGAAAAGTAGTGATAACTGTGAGGATGAACTGGAGAGGGAAAGTAACAGTTGGCTGTGGTGTTGAAGGCTGGGAAGGAAAAGAGGGATTCCAGCTTTGCGAAGGAGTGGGCCAAGAATTTACCTCCATTATGAATAGAAGAAAAGCTGAATCAATGGGTTACAGAATGCAGACTATGTATAATGGTCTCAGAAATTTTGGTTCTCATAGTAGGATGTTAAAATTTCATTCACTTTCTTTTTGTTAAAAAAAAACAACCACCACAACCAACCAAAACCCTCAGAGAATTAAAAAAAATACATTGGTGCAATTATACTGATAAAAATATTTCACAGAACAAAAGTGAGCTTCATTAAATCCAGACATCTGTTAGGTGATATATAGCTTTCCTCTTCCCTCTCAATACACTGAGTCAGTAGCTGGTGCATAATTAAACATAACACTGTAATTTCCACCTAGATTGTACTAACTTCTATTTTATAGGTTGATTTTTTATTTTAGTCTCCAGGACCAGCCTAATGGCTTTCCTAGGCGATTTGCATTATCCTCTACTTTTCCCCAAAATTAGTTACATTTTTGGAGCTACTACAGGTAAGGGAATTAGCAGCACATCTAGTCTAAAATGTAGATATTTTTATGCTAACATATCTTTAGGTCATTTTAGCTTGAAACATAAATGTTGTATGAACACCAAATTTCACTGAGTCACTAGCATAGCCTCTGACATGGAACAGTGATTACATTAAAAACACCAGAGAAACGCACAGTTCCTTCTGTGTTGCAGTTACACGAAAGGGCTGAGTGAGTTCAATGGTACAAAATTCACAAAGTGGTTTCATTAAATTTATGCAAACTCCCATGTGGATACTTCTTGTAATCACCTTCGTAGCAATTTAGTTTAGTTAATATAGGAAATGGCGCATATAGTTGAAAATTGAATTTAGTGGAATGTAGTATGTTGTGAACATGTATGTAGTCGAGACCTGCATTTTGTCAAAAAACATGACCAACATGAACAAGTAGTTGTTGAGCTGTGAATGTAATCTGTGCTTCTTAACTTCACAGATGTACTTTCTCTCAACTAGTCATGCTCCCAATTTTTCACAAATGTTACAAACTTCTAATACATTGAAAATGAAATTAAATTGCTTAAGTAAGAAGATGTCTAATCATAAATGCTATTAGGACCTAAAATATTCACTCCCTTAGCATGGAGAAATAAGAAAATGTAAATATTGAGGCTTCTCTAGCTAGTGAAGATATCTGATTATCAGATTGGGAAAGCGTAAGTATTTTCACTACCAAACATAAAACGTAATTTACATGGAAACTGGATGTAACAGGGTATCCTCCTTCCCTGTTTCACCTAACTGTCTTCTCAGCTGCAGCACTTGCATATTCAAGAATCTTAAGGTTTCATGTTTACATGCTTTTATTTACCTTATGCTTTTAGCATTCACATTGAGCTCTTACAGCCTGCATGTAAGAGCAAATCTAAGAGAACGGCAAAGTTTGTTAGAAGGTCATGCAAGCAAGGTCATGGTGTATAGCACAATCAGTATGCTTTATTTATTGACGCGTTACTAAATATATTATCTGTGCTGTTGATGATTTGACATTGTTCTGGTGCATATTCAAATTGTAATATACATAGGCAAAGAGATTAGTGTCATTTTTTGGCAGAATAGTTGCAGAAAAAGCAGGATGATTCTGAACAGCCTCCCTTGGGTTGTCTTCCTAGGATATTCTGTGCGTAACCAAGTCTTCTGAAAATGCAGCATGTCCAGTGATTCACCTTCATCACTAGAAGAGATGCAGTTAGTTGCATAAGAACTTTTGCTTTTCCTTTGATATTTTTATTTATGCTGTTATTCAGTATCAGTATTTATTCTATTAGTATACTTTAAAACCACAAAAGTTCAGGAAATAACCCATGCCAACTAATCTCACTTGCTATCACTTGAACAGTAAGGCAGTTATTGCAAAATCATAACACTTCACTGTTCAAACAGACAGGATTTTTATGGCTCTCCAACTGAATTTTGCTCCTGCCACTTATTACAGAACATTACCTTTAAGAGAAACTTGCAGCTGGTATTGATGACAGGCAACGAGACATTTGCCACTTATCCCCTTGGGCAACAATTATCCAGGTGCAAGCATAAGTTGCCAGATGCTCATTTGAAGGTAAAAAAGGCAAATGTTACTTGTTAGGGGAGAAAAGTGCCCCTGGTTTGGTTTTGCATACATGAGATTTCCAACAGGGATTACAATCAGTCAACTAATCCACCTCAGAGATGGCAGTTTCTACAGGCTATGCTGGGAACTGCATATTCACTGGTAGCATGTGGGGAAACTTTGCAGCAATACTGCAGCAAGTTACGAGCTGCAGCAATCAGTAAGTTGGAATTTGTCACCCACCTGCTTAAAATTTAAATTAGATTGCACCTGGGCAGATAATACTGTTGAAGAGGCCCAGAACATGCTGCTTCCATGCAGCCTTCCCTATTATTCTTTGAATATTTATCTCCTCAGTTACGCTGTTTCTTTCTGAGGACATATTCAAAAGTAAAGGAAATGCCTAACAGGAGTAGCAGACACGTTCAGCAGTATGCTTCCACTGTTATGCAATTTTAAACAGCTACACTGCTTCTCATGGGTAGCAAGATGGTTAACGTATGTGCTGCCTGCCAGTACCAACTTTTGCATGGCTTTTTTTATTAATAGGACAGTTGCAAACATTGCTAGAAAACAAGTCTTAAGGATTGTTTAATTATAATACCTGTCGTTAAGAATATTCTTTACTAGAATGTGGCCGAGAGGGTAAGTGAATGTTCATATGACAGTAGTAGAGGATCTTGTTCTGTCCAAGAAGCTAGGGCCATTTTACTGGATGTCATTTTTCAGGAGAGTGTGAAAGCAGAATGCTCAGCTCTTACTGCTTTGGTGAATCACAGCTATTTGGTGACAGGACCAATAGCTTATTTCCTAGATAGATCTGCAATATAAAACTGTAAGAAGACTGAATTTATATGTTTCTATTGCACTGACCATGCCTTCATTAGAACTAACTGTAAGACATGAATAATTTTTCACCTTATTTGAACTACCACTCTAATCTAAAGACAGCAAGTAACTATGTGGTAACCAAGGGCTGTAGCTTAGAAGTGACTAAACAGTAAATGCTGCAACCTTGTTAAATCATGAAAAATTTATTTTCATTACATATATATGAAGGTAAAAGATTTCAGTCAATAGTGTTTTGAACAAGCATTTCCGACATGAACCTATTAGTGTAGCTAGGCTGAAACTTAATGTAAAGTTAGTGTTTTGCCTTTATTTAGCAATTCTTTTCTAGTGTGTATATACAGAATTCATTTTCCTGTTAGAATACCAGAGACAGTAATATTGCAACATTTACATTCCTCATATAAAATGGTGTAATGTACATTTTCAGCTTGGTGTAGATATATAAATATGTACAAAATAAACATAATTGTAATTAATATATTCAGACCAGGTATTATTTAGCAACATCAAAAGCAGATGCACATAGATTTAAGTGAAAATGGTGAAAAACACCTTTATGACATTAGTGACCATTATTTGCATATGTGTAGTACAGATAAAGGCTCCTCTTTCAAGCCTTCTGTGGGCATCCAATAACTTTAGTAAAACCAAAAGTAATCGAGAAGCATAAAGATAATTTTATATATATATATATGTGTGTGTGTTATGATCAGATGGTTTCTAGGGTCCATCTTGATCACAAATGGATAACAATGTAAAACATACACATTTGTTCAGAGCATAAAATATTGCACAAGAGCAATTTCTTTTGAGGAAAATAATTCCTTTGTTTGTGAACAGCAAAAATGGTTCTTGTGCATTAAAGAAATGATACATTTGCAGTTTCTAAACCAAGGAACATTCAGTAATACTGGCAGAACTGTTATCCGTCAACTTCCTCCCAGCCTGTTTTATGGCAATGGTATGTCGTTAGCAAGATTTGGCAAAGAGAGAAGGCAGACAGACAGTACATATATATATATATTTTTTCACAGGCCAGACCAGATTCAATAGTTACCTAAACCAACTGCTAGACAGTTTTCTGACAACTGCTTCAGTTATCTGACAATTTCACCCTTAAAGACATAGGAAAGCCTTCAATGCTAGTCACAGGGATAATCACACAGTAGTAGAGTAAGATTCCATTCTTCTTTGCTTGGAAACCATCTTGTCTGAATTCTCAGTCTGAAGAACACCTTCCTCAGTATCACTGTCACTGCTGTCTACAACTGTGTGATCCAAAGCCATCTGACCAGTCCTCCTGTGTAGATGAAAGTTCACCCCACTGTCCTGTATGGAGTTAGTTATAAAATCTTCATCAGAAGAATGAAATGATTCATCATCTCCTGTGAAATGGCTGACAATGTGAATCCCATCAAAAGTGGGTTGGTCTGAGAAGTCTCTCTGGCCTTTTAGACATTTGATCTATTAGAAAAAGCAGAAGTTAACAGTTAATCAGAGCTGAAGAATCCAGCAGTAAAAAAAAAAAAAAAAAAAGCAAGAAATGTCTCATTGAACTCATATTGTATTAAACGCTAGATCTATAAGTAGCATATTTGATGATCACTTCGAAACTCAGCTGGAATCAGAACAAAATGTCTTCTCACTTCTGGCTGTTCCAGTACAGACTTTGAAAGAATCTCTCGAATTTTCAAAAAGTCTCCTTCCCTTCTCAAAGTATTTCAGTTTTAAGGCTTAATAATTAAGGTATCTAGAGAATCACTAATGAAAGTTTCCTCCAGGCTGTTTACTGCATCTCTAATACCCCCACGAGGATTGGTTATAGTTAGTTTTCTAGAGTGGCCTGTTTGTTTTGACAGCACTTTTTGCCTTCACATCTTACTTCTACAGCTCCATTCTTAATCACCTACCCTCTCTGGAGAAAAGCCCTCTCGCAGTCCCAAAGAGCAGGGTCTCAAGTGAGTATTGCCAGTTTCACACAGCCACAGAATACGCTTAGCTCTGTCTACGCTGCAAGATCAAGTGTCTTTTCATTATCTAGGTTCAGACCCAATGAGATTTCAGATCAAGAAGCGTAAGAGAAACTTCTCCTTGTACTGCATAAATAGATTGTAGTTTCAATTTAAGAGAACATCAAACAAGACAAAAAGGATTGTCAGGTCATGGACAGATAGATTTTAATTCAAAATGCACTGTGGAGTGATAAACTATTACAACCATGAGCTCAAGCTATTCAAAAGTAAAACCTAAAGCTCTGAAGTGCCCTGTTAATTTAGTGAAAATAACTGCAACTCATGGAAGACATTCCTGAGTTTTTGTTGTTGTGGTGTTTGGTTGTTTTGTTTTGTTTTTTTTTTTAAGAATTTCACTTTTGTTAGCTTTTAGTAGCAACTACCTCAGGGTCAGTTTGACAGTCTAGGAGTATTAAGATAAAAAAATCCTAAGGATGCAGAAAAACATTAAAAATGCATTACAGAAACTTCATAATGTCACTCTGGAAACTTAAAAAGGAAGATTCACAAAGTGCTATTTTGTAAGCGACATTTCACAGTAAGAGAGACCTCGAAAACAGAGGAAAAAGCTTAAAGAGCCTTTTTACACAAATCTATTTGATGTTTCAGAAATCTGAAGCAATATTCACTTTGATAAACAAAAAGTGCTTGTAGGTCCTCGCTTTTGACACCAATAGAAGATTTTACCTGTCCATTTGGGGAAGAAGGAACCTCGGTACTTAGCATGGGCTTGTACAAAAGATGAGAATAAAAAGGAGTTAAAAAAAAAATCTCAAGAGTCATAATCATGATAGAAGCCATCAAATTGGACGTTAACAGCATGTAAAAGCTCCAGGTTTTACTGTATATCAAAATGTCCTTGTTAGAAATATGGGTATATGCTGTAGAACTAAACCTTTGTTGTAATTACATGTAGTAGTATTAGTTTTTTACATTTTCTTCACATACACATAGGCTGCAGTTGTTTCATGAGGACCTTGCTTGGATAAAGGCAAGCAAAACTTGCACAGCATAATTCATGACATAAGCAAAATCAACTTATGCCAAATATTAGATACTAGACAGTAATATGTATCTGGAATAAATAATTTTTACTAGCTTATATACCTAGATACAGAAAGTCTGATACAGAGATTCTTGTGCTACTTAGAAATATTATCCCTAAAAATATCCTGCAGTATGATCAGATTAGCCGCCACATGAAGTTTCCAAAACAGCTATCGATTTTAGTCACTAAGAAAATAAAACACAGAAAAACAAAATGAAACCCAACAATTTTTCTCCACCCTCACCACAGAAAAAAAGTTCTGCTGTACTAGTGACTACAAATTTCACATTAGAGTAAGAAATTATATGCTTTTACGTCTGCACACTTAAGCCATTGGTTCACCTGAAATTATAAAGCTGATACTCAATGTTAGTTGTTTTGAACATTCAGAAAACCAAGCCAATGACCTCAACTGTTTTCCTGAAGACTTCAACACATGATACCTTTAGATGAATGTATTTAGGTAACATGACAAAATCATGGCTTCATGGTTTTAGGCAGCAACTTTTCCAAACACCAAATGAGAGTCTGTGGAAAATGCTGTTGGTGAAAAAAAAACATGAATAGACACAGCCTTTGCCGATTCCTAAAATGAGGCTGGGAAAACAGCGTGTTATCTTTTGTTATTCTAACAAAAGGATGCACAGTCTATCACCTTCCAGAAACACTTCTTTTGACCTGCAGCTTTAAACTTGCTTGCCCTTTTTCTCAAGTACTCCTCACATCCAAGGGGAACCAGACTGCTAGGAAAAAACATGAACGTACTGTACCGAACATATGCGACAAGTCTATCGATGGTCATATAGTTCCATAACTTCTCTGTTTGCTTGAAAAATGGCAGTCTCAGCCAGAAACACAGACAAACAGTGTAGCATAGAATTTGTTTGTATTATGGGGATCGACAGGGTGGATAGCAACACTGCTGGCAGTCCTGACACACAGGAGGCTCAACATGAATCAGCAGTGTCCCTGGGCAATGACAAAGGCTAACGGCAGAGTAGGCTGTATTGACAGGGGCATGGATAGCGCACCATGGGAACCGATTCTTACCTGGCGCTTGTTTGACTGCATCTGTCCTATTCTGCACTTGCTACCTCACTCCTTCCTCAGTGTAAGATACGCAGGAGTAGATTCAGTGGAGAGGCACCAAGACAGTTAAGGGACAGGAGCTTTTGCCTTAAGATAACAGAGCACTGTCTCTTTACTGAAATGCATGGTGGGAGGAGTCATTGATCATAACACAAAGCACAAGGTTGTGTTTGAATATGAAGGGAAAACGATCGCTACAAGGCTAGTTCAGAATTGTAACAGGTTGTTCTTACTGAGATCGAGTTGACTTACTGAGATTCTTGCTGTCAGAGTTTTATTTGAACACGGAAAAAGAGCTTAAAGCATGAAGTAAAGCATTATGCCAAGATCCTACCATTCGTGTAGCCAAGTATATCAAGATAACGGGAAACCTGACTATGGACTCAGAAGCGGAGGCGTGTGGACCCAACACAAACATCGCCCCACCTCCCCTCAAACCCTAATTCTACTCTATCCTTATTATTCCACCCAAAGGAAAAAGAACAGCCCTTTTTCTTGCAGCCACATTGAGCAGAATATGGACTTACACCCCAGGGTCTGTCACTTCTGTTCTCTTTTATACAAAGAGCCAATCTTGGTTAAAGCCTTTCAGTTTTGTGTCTGGCAGTCCTTCATGTGAAGGGAACTAGATCTCTGTCACCCTGACAAGCAACATTCAAATGAATCTTGGCTGTTTCTTACTGCTTCAGTTTTGCAAGAATTTCAAATCTGATCACATCTGTAAAAAAAACCAGATCTGGTAAACCCACATGTTTTGCTTTTAATTCTCTAATCCAGGTCATGTTGTCTAGATGACTGCAGCTTCAACCTGGTTTTCACTACGGCACATTCACACGGTCTTTAGGATGTTTCAAAGGGTTAATAACATTATGTGACCAAAATGTATGTCATTATCCTTTTGAAAGCCAGCTGAATCAAGAACAGAATCTTAATAATTATGATTGCATTTATATACCTTCTTGTGTTTGAAGAATTCAGCATTTTGAAGACAAACTGTATGTCCTATGGTTAACATATGAAAAGACTTTAATTGTACATACTCTTAACAGGTAACAGTGTACTTTCACAAATTCAGAAGAGCTGAAAAAGGCTAACAATCAGATCCTTGAACCTCAGAATAAACTTTCTTACCTGATGCTGACTGCCTCATCAAGCCAGGCATGAAGGAGAGACAGTAAAGAGAAATTTAGTTTTACTACAATTCAAAAGTTCTTCCATGTAAAATCATAGAATCATAGAACAGTTTGAAGGGCGCTAGTCAGTTGCAAGGAAGTTATATTTCTTAGCCCCTTTGTTTTTTAAATAGAGAACAAAGGTCAAATTTTCAAGTGGGACTTTGTGAAAGAGATCTATTTAAGCTCTAGGAGACATTTTTATGTTGTAACGTGTGAGGTTTTTTAGAGCTAGGAATTCAGTGGTGAAAAGAAGTCAAACTACAATGTTACTTTCTGCTCCCTTTAAAAGGCTTCAGTAACTAATAATTGAAATTTACTGAATTCTGAAGTAGTAAAGAAGAGTTTTAACAAAACTTGCCAATAAATATTCAATCTACTCACAGTAGAATAAGCAAGCAATATACAAGTGAGGTCAAAATATGATAAAAACATGACCACTGCTTTGGATGAATGAAATTGATTTTGGCAGAAGGCAGTAAGTTAAATTTTTACTTAAAGAATAAAAATACTGAATTCTCAGTGCTTGTACTTATAGCAAAAGGAATCTAAAAATCAGAGTTCCCTCTTTGTCTCCACCTTAGTGACAGTAGGAAGTCTTAGTAAGATTTCCTGCTTAAAAACCAAATATGATTCAAAAGAAAACTAGAATGTTGCTGAAAGTATGATCTAACCACACTTAGCTGAAGAGAAACAAGTCATAAGCATTTTCAAATACCAGTCCTATAATTCAGAAAAACATTGTCAACTTGGCAAGATGAAGAGATTTAGAAGTCAAAAATATAATTACAAGCCAATTAAAAAGATCAGTTATGATCTATTAAATTATAACATTTAACATAAAAAAAGGCAATTTAATTGTAGTTCTTAAAAATTCCTGAGACTACTGGTCCACAGCATCTAATGGTAACCCTTACCATACTTAACTTGACTGCTACTTACTCTCCCATTGTGATGAGATCACTCCAGTTTAAGGCATACACTAGTACACTATCACTTCTTTAAAAAGCTCCCCGTAACTTCTTTTGAAAAAATGCTTATCTCAGAAAGTGAAGCGGTCGGAGCATCTCAGACTGAATTAATGGAAAATACGTTGTCATTTGGGAGGCAAATATCAGTCCAGACAAATATGTCCAGTGGTAC